GCACATTGACAAAAAGAGAAAACCCATGAATCGTGTTTACTTTTCCACATACCGCATCCGGACGACCTCATCTTAACGGCTTAGGATGAGTGACGTTTCTAGCTTGACTCACATGAAAAACGAAAACCGCGGCCGTGGACAATTGCGCGCGTACCGAATAGTTGTCCCCATTGCTGATCTCGTACTCACATAGTCCTTCCCAGTTGATGCCCAGCATACGCAGTGTTCTCGGCTTTACTGTGCTGTACTCGTACGCAGTATATGCGTGTGGCACTTGACCAAGATAAGGCAATCACCCTAACTCAACGACTTTGTCGTGCATCCGATGCTACAGAATACCACATCATGATAACCGTTTTAATTCCGGCACAATATTGACATGTGGCCTTGCTGTTAGCGGATCGTACCACCATTACGCTAGTCTGAATGTTTAAACACAAAGACTCCAAGGTAACAAGCTAAGGATGTCAATACACCCATGACATGGATCAACGAAAGCCACATATACATCCATTGACTAGTACAACAGCCCTCTCCAACTTAGCTATTCAGCTTCCCAGCCTAGCACCTGCCACAGTGCTGCCACATTAACTTAACATGAGCAAGGGCGCGAAAAAGCAATTGATCACGAGAAACCTTATTTTCAGCCACCGTACTCTGTTTAACGGCTTTCCCATGAACATTTTCGCATGGCAAACATTGATATGCATGTGTCGTAGCTTTTTATCCTTTTCCTTCCTTTTGTCGTCGATCGCCCTGAATCTACAGCACTACCACGTATAGTACCATATCCTATACTTTTGACTTTGTACCAACAATGATCTCCAGGCATCCAGGCGTCCAGGCGTCAGGAAAACCTCATCCATCCTATAGCCGACAAACCATGAGTAAGGCTATTGTAGCCGCAACCAAGCCGCGCGCGATACGCGCTGCGAACGCAAGATCGAGTACCAGAGTTCTGCTGGGGACGAAAATCTGGACGGAAGCTGAAACTTAGCGTACCATACGATCAAAGCAGTTCCGTTCGGCATCTAGTTCACTAGTTTCACTCGCGTGTACCGACAAGGGAACCCGAGAACCCAAAAGTTCAGCCTGACGTCGAAGTGGAGCTTGACCGGAGGGGAAAGGTGGAGTTGAGGTGAGAATTAAAGTTGACCAATGTTTCAGAGAGCGATGGGTATCGGATGATCTCTGCTGTGCTGCGCGACATCATTGTTTAGTTTGCCTATCATGACGGCGATGGGCGAATATGTAGACTTGAGGCAGTGGTGAAATAGTTTTCTGGGAAAGTATTTGAGAAACTGACTTGTGAGAAAGACCCAAACAAAGTGGCTTATCCGATAAACGTAGTTATACCAGCAGTCCTGATCATGCTATTGGAACCCGAATGCATCATCACTGGAACACTCAGCTCCTAGCACAGTAGAACGCATACAATGCATCAAGTAAGGGATGCTGCATGCAAATGGCACATGTACTGTAATGTTGATCCTTTCCTCGCTACAGGATGAAAAGAGCAACGTCACACACAACCCATGTTCTTAGGATCTATGCGATATAGATCGCTCCACCACGGATAATATGGGTAGTCGGACTTTGGCGAAACATGTGGAGAGATAAGATGGGGTATTGCAGACGGATAGGTAAAGTTCCGGGCGCGAAGACTTAGTCATGATCGTTGCGGGCGATCAATTCTTCTGAAAAAGTCTGATAGTGGAAACGATAAACTCAATCTATTTGAGATGATAAATCTCCAATTACCGAATGTGGATGGGAAAGAACCAAACAGGAGATCTGTTGTTGTCATGGACAGCGAAAATGTGACTTTGGGAAAGCGACAGACCGATATTGGTTACTGCCGGATGGGTATCATTCTTGGTAATGGTCTTGGCTAGCTAAGTAGAAGCCAGCAGGGTAGCTGGCTGTGGGGGATGAAAGGAAAACGCCTCGTTCATGCATCTGAATCGTTCGAATCGTTCGGTTCGTGCATCGTGATAATCGTACAGTTGGAAGCCCGTGAAGTGTCTAAAAAAGTTTGAACAAGGAAAGAAGACCGCTCGCTGAAATGCAGCAGATCTCTCGGTCTTTATTAGAGAAGATAAGGAAAAGTTTATGTAAGAAATAGGCCAATACATGTAGGTCAAAGTGTAGGTCAGCGACTTGTTGCTTTGAGGCTGGCACGCTTCAATAAACGGCTGACGAGGTTTCCGCGTGGTTTTGGCTTGACGTAGAATGCGCCCTTGGTACCTGTCATATCGTCGGTAAAGACCAGATCTTCGAGTGCCAATGGGTCGTCTTTCGGAGTTTTCGGGCTCGAGCTTTGCCAACCATACAGTTGATCTTCGTCAGCTCGTAAATCGGGCCGGGTCAAAGTCATACGAAGTGTCATCTCTCGGTTGAACTGCCCGTTGGCGGAGTGAACAGGCGAAGGAGCGGGCGATTCAACTGAGAATTTGCGATGCGAGATCTGGCGAGAATGCATACGGAATGACAGTCCGGTGCTAGAAGGCGTAGCGGGTGAGTCCATGTCGGCTACTGAGCCAGCGTCAGACTCCAGTCCTTGGTTTTCATTGTTGTCTTCGAAAAAGGACAACTGCCCGTCTCTGAGGAAGGTCTGCATGTCTCGACTGAACTTACGGGCATGGTTGTCGATCTGGGGTAGCTGGAAGTGTGGTGTAGCAGAGTCATTCCCTGCCGACGATGGGAAACCGAACTCGATCGCTTCATCGAACTTTTGGGGTGATGCAAGGTACATGCGCAACTTCTTTCTCGCCTCTGGATCTTGGTAATGGGTCGCTTCGGTATCGACAACAAGGGGTGAAGGCGTTGATGGTAACGTGTGAGTTGCGAGCGAAGAGGAGTGCGCACGTTGGTGAAGACCTCTTGGCCTAGCATTGAAGAAGGGAGGGTCCGACATGTATGAGGATCCGTGGCGGACGGGGTGGGAGGTAAGTGACATTGTTCGTCTCATGTTATCTATCGGCATCTCTCTTCGCGTAAACATCGGTGTGGCCATGGTGTCGAGATATAGCAAATGCCTGTTTCGGTCCTTGCTCGTGTCGAGTGTAGCAGACGGCCCGAAAGAAGGGCGGGAAGGGCTGACAGTCGAAGAGGCCGATGAAGAACGTCGTCGTGAGCGTCCGCGTTCAGGAAGGTCGACCGGAGGGCTGGGAAAGTCGAAATGAAAGTCGTTGAAGCGTTGTTGTGCCCACTCGATATCTTGGTCGTCGGGAAATAAGGCTTGTTGGTGCCTTTGTTGGAGGAGTGCCTGCTCTTCGCGGGAAAAATGTTGCTTGCGTACCTTTTCAGGCAAAGAAAGGAAAAAGTCCAGCTCGACGTGGGAGATGTCGTGAGATTGCACGGCCTTTTCGGATTTGCGTCTGCGTCGTCCGGTGCCGAGTGATAGAGAAGGCCGGTGTGATTTGGATGAGGTGCTGGCCTGGGACGAGCGGCCTGATGTAGGCTCGTCGGAGGCCTGTTGTCGGATCTGCAAACGCTCCAGGGATGAAAAGTACTTTCTCCTGTAGCGGCACGGATTAGCATTGGCATCATGGCATAATTGACAAACCCTTCATCTACTGCAAGGTACACAAAAGTCATGGTGGGGGATTCGGTATATGCGCGTGCATAACGCGCCCTTATCACACGCCTCAACAAATCAGAGGCTTGGAATTTACTTACTGGACTGAATACGGCAGGGCGTCGAATTCCGCCTGTTGTAAAGGCAGAATAGTGCCTTTGACCTTGCTCTTCATGGCTTCGGCTCGGAACTCGACGTCGGCGAAGGCGCAATGTTGGATTCAGGCACATGTGCGGTTGTCTGCTCGATCGATGCTGCGAAAGGCGGCCCTGACGCCGTGGCCAAGCTGTGCGTCGGGCACGTCTCGTGAAGGCTGGTTGAGCAATGCTATACTTTGTTCTCGATGATCGACCGGAGAGCGATCCGAACAGCAGCAAGCGAAAGTCCGAAGAAGAAGGAATTATATGAAGGCCAACAGAACGACTGCTGGGGAGACAGAAACAATCTGTGGGCTTAGCACCGTACGACTGTCGCTCGCACTTGGGGCGGCTGCATATTCGTGTCGCGGGATGCTACAGCTGCAGGCTAACGCGCCGCCAAAGACGCACTCCTACTCTCCACCTCACACCTAGGCCCTGTAGTAGAGCCGTGGCTGAAGTATCCGAGAGCAGGCCTGGGTGTGTGCGTTCGTTGGTTGAGTCAGGTTGGACAGGCATGCCTCATCCCCGCTTCTCTCCACCTTGCCCGTCCGCTGTTTCAGGCCCGCGGCCGCCAGGTACACACCGTCAGCGGGGCCACGATAGTTAGCGTGCGACACACCGCTGCCAGAGCGACCCGGCTGGTGGTGTCGATACATGCTCTCTCAACTGTACCTCGTTTAGCCTCGTCATCAATATGCTTGCTTCTGGAATATTGCATTATTGCGTTATTGACCCATTGCCCCATTGCCCTATCGCGTGCCGACCAAGTCGCCGGATCAACACCTCAGCCAACGTGTCACGGGGTTAATATCGCACAGATCGCCGTGGACAACCAGACGCCTTGCACAACGTCGAGCATGCGCCGTGTAACGTCGACAAGCTGAGCAACACGCATGCACGCTCCATACAATCTGGTCTAACTGCAGTTTATTGCACAAGCACAAGCAAGGGTATCTCAAGAGAAGCGCATCCAGCTCCAGCTCCAACACAAACGTCACTGCCCCTGCAATGTCTCTAATATAATTCCCCAAATATCGGTGCGGTACCTGATTGCCAGTTTAAAGGCTGACAGACGTATTCCGGGGACATGGCGATCGTGGTAGACCCCGCCATCGTCTAGTCCCGCATCGAGAAAGTTTAGGCTTTCGGAAGCGTCTACTTAGGCTTCCCAACAACCTGTCGCTTGGATATTGGCGGATCCATTAATTTCACCAAGTCCTGCAGGAGATCGATGTTTGTTGTCGAAGAGTCCTGTTCACAAACAAGCATCTTCTAGATCTTCAGGCACCCGCAATGTCATCTGCGTTGGCGTACAAGTCAGTATTGAGTCCGTGCCACGTTTTGTTAAAAGCGCACGTACAGTAGTATTCGTCATCCAGTCCCTCACGGCTGGGGAGTACTGGCTCCTCCAGCCCAACGTCTTCGTATCGAACGTTGAGCAGACGGATCTTCAACCCGTAGCCGCCTATGAAGGTCGCCAACTTATTGGTATCGGCGGTTATAGGCTGTTGGTTTAACAGCATCAGCAATCCATCAAGCCACTCGGAAGCAAGGGTGTGGCTCTGAGGATGCAGATGCAGCAGGACAGATTCTTTCCGCCCTGCGCCTGAGCCGCTGGAAGCCTGCCGCGAGTGATTGGACGGCGGCAGGTAGCCGTGGATCGTGATCTTGGTCGACGTAGAAGCTCGCTCGTGGCCTAGCAGGGTTCTGACTGTACTGTCAGATGATGAGGTCGACGGAGCCGAAGCCGAGACATTGCTCACGACCGAAGAGACGATTGATAGATCGACTGTACATGTGTCAGCCATGGCAGTAACGCAAACCATAGGGGACGCGTGGATGCGTTACACTTACTCTTCTCCTGCAGTGTGTCTAATCTCGGCTCAGTCGCCGTCTTTTCGTCAAAATCAGCATAGTGCAGATATCGCCGGTTGTGTGACAATCGGACAAAACGCCATGCTGAGGGCACAGAACGATCCAGGGCCTTGCCGGTTACTGGACCTGCACTTGTGCCGTAGTCCATACCCATAGGGAACCACGCCCCTTGTAGCAGACATCGTATACGCTGCTCCTTTACGAACTGCAGAGCCTCGTGGTTGAGTTCGTCACGGACTTGACTGTGGACTGTTAGCTGAGCGCGAATCATGTGAAAACATGTAGCATACCGCAGATGATGGCCCCACGCGTCCTCGTACGTCAGCTCCAGTACTTCCATCTGGAGCTCTCTCAGACGCTTGAGTTCGAATTCAGTCAGATCCTCCTCCACATCTTTGACGTCCTTCATGCGTGGCGCCTGACCCACCACCTGCTCGATCAAGATGCGAATAAGCTCTTCAATCTTCTCAAAGTCCTCCGTCTGTGCGCCAGCGGCTTTCCACAGTCTGATGAAAGCATTTAACCCACTCGTGTGCAATCTAGACCAGTGGAGCAAGAGGGGTTTGAACGCGCGGTCAAAATTGGCTCGCGAGTCAGTATGTCTATGAGAGTCAAAGTCATCAGGCTTGTCTACTTCGAAATGCTCGTACAGAGTCTGGGTGACAGACAAACTTGCACGCGCAATTGGACACCGCTGCTCGGGTGGTTCTGCCGACTGCTCCAGTAAGAGCTTCTGAAATCCGTCTTCGTTCTTGTAGACGAAGTCGGTAATATCCATGAGGCCTAGGAAGCCAGTCTGATCAAACTCCCACGCAGGCGATTCAGTCTCGAAGCCCAGACGTTTCCATTTGTCTGGATTTTGTTTCTTGCTTCCCTTGGAGTCGGAGTCTGGCTTCTCTGGCTTGCTCGCTGTGTGTAGCCCCCGGATAGCCCTTCTGTGATCAGGATTCTCCAAATCGACCTTTTCTTCCCTCCAGTTTCGCAACAGTATCTTGGTCAACGACTGGAAGTCGAGCAATGGATGGGCCAAATCCTGTATCGCAGAGCTCTGCATGAGTCCATATACGCTCTTGATCACACCCAGCTCCTGCAGCTGCTTTATGAACTTGGGCCACTCAAAAGCCGCGTCGTTTGTGATGGCATCTCGCATGAGGGCGTTGATAAGCTGCAGCGAGTTGGCACATAGCGCGTGGTCGGCTGAGGCGATCTTTTCGACGAGGGAAGGTAGGAACTCAGGCTGAGTATCGACGGCAGGCTTCAGGCGCTGGAAGCCAGTGGTTCCTTCCTGAGAGTTGCGATGAGAGGGGTGGCCGACGATGGCTGCGAGGACTGACATGGCACCACGATTGACGTTGACGAGAGGTTGGGCGACCACAAGGTCGACTATCTGTTGCACAACTGTTAGATGTTGTTGATGGTTCCTCTCTGGTCTACTCACTCTCGCGACCAAATCATCGGTAACATGGTCCCATCCCTTGTCCAGCTCCAGCAGGCGTGCTAGAGAGGTGAGGCAGTATGCCAGTGTATTGCCTGTGGAATGCAGGGCCAGGAATCTGAGTTTGGGCAGACCGCCTTCGTATATGAAGACGTCGGCAAACGAGGGGTCGCCAATGGCACTCTGCAGCTTGAAGACGGCCATCTTGCGCACCGACTCCTCCTCCGCGCCGAGTCGCGCGACCAACTCGGAGACATTGACGCTATCCATGGCTCACGGCTCGCAGGGTAGGATGCGAGAATGTGGGGTAAGTGTATTGTGGAGATGCTACATTCATCCCAGATCACGCACGAGTGGCAAGCATGACACAATCGCCAGAGGGCCGGGAGTGGTATGCTAAGGGTTGGGGTGGTGTCTGTCTACGCCGTCGTCGATGTTTCACCCTGTCCCTGCGCCGTCGCGCGTTAGTGAGTCGCGACCTTTTGCTTGGCGACACGTGAAGCGTGTTGTGGGGGCCCACTCGCTGGCTGTTGGCTGCCTGCTCAGGTGGCTTGCGCTAGTCAGGTACATGGCCGAGCATCAATCAAGGCCGCCGACAACATCCCATCGCCCTCCAGTCCGTCCTGGTGACCCTCCTCGCCGTCCATCGCTCTGTCCGCTCCCTTCTTGTCTGCTCGCCTTGGCCCCGCCGTCTTCGATAGCCCTCGTCTTGTTTCTGCCTGGTGTTTCCTTTCCTGTATTGACGCCATCGCCGCCGCCGCCGCCGCCGCTGCACTTTCCGCCGTCGAGCCCGACAACAGCTTCTCCGCTCCGCCGTGACTCTCACCGCAACCCGCCGCCATGGTCTACATCACCTCTGACCTTTTCGGTCCGAACACACTACACGAGCGACAATACGACGACTCGCCAAATTACTGGCATGCCATGGCTCACCAACAACATGCCGCCGGCTTGGGCAAGAGAAAGAGGATGGCCGCCGATGATGGACCACAACAGTGAGTATTCATGCTTTATCAAAATCAAACCCCAAAACTAACAGCATGTTCAGAAACATAACACGCCAACATCGGCCGTCACCCAGTCGCGACTCCAACCGTCTACATCTCCACAGTACCCCGCCTTTCGACAGCAACAGCAACTTACCCTGCTCCCTCTTCCCATCAAAACAACACGAATACACATCAGAACGACGGCCGGTTAAGCAGTTGAAACGCCTCAGTCCAAAAGCGCCCCTTGTCAAGTCGACATCACATCTGATGGACGTTGACTTTGATCTTCCGCCGACATGCCAAAGCCAATCACACGCCGTTTCCGACTTGCGATCCTGTCACGCCTGCAACAAGGCGCCTAAGCGACGAAAGGACTTGGAGAATTACCTCGACTGCAGGAGGTGCGAAGGGCGGACGTGCTTTATCTGTGCGAGGCAATGTGTAGGGTGCAGCAAGGCCATCTGCAAGAAGTGCATAGTAGAGGTTGGAGAAGAGGGGGATGCTTGGTGTTTGGACTGTTACTCGCGTAATATCAATTCGTGAGCGTCACAAGAGGAGGTTGATTTTTAGTGATTTGGGAGGTGTTTTTTTGGATTGTTTGCCGGAGCAAAGCGGGCGTTCATGTGTTACTCCCAGCTGCATCTTGTGAGACTATGGAGCGTCATAATTGTTTTTCTTATCGACGGTCCTCGGGCTTTGCCCTAACGAGCATGTCAGCCATTCTACTTTCGCCCTTTGTATATAGCAAGGATCATGAGCATCATAATACAGACTAGATTTCCGGGTCATTGATAAGACCATGTACAATTCGTAGTCCTCATTCTATCGTTAAACATACACAGTGCCCAGCAAACCAGGAACGGTTCTAATCCTCATCATCAGTGTCCCTCTCCTCCATGACGCTCTCCGCATCTCCCGCTCGGAGCCTCGAGCGCGAACTTGTCATATCTCCGTCTTCAGCCTGACTATTCCTGGTGCTCCGTCTCCTACTCCTACTGCTGACGATACCAGGGAACAACCTAGGTTCTCCGTCTAGCGTGACAGTGCTCGTTGAGCGCGTCAGACCCTGGTCAGGCTCCTCGTATGCTTCTGTCGGCTGAGCGACTGAGAGAGTGCTGGGGTTTACAGTTATGCTGGAGCTGCCACCGTCTTTAGTGCCGGAAGGCGAGGCTGGCTGGCCGTGCAGACTACCCATGTCGGTTGTCGAGGTCGAAGGCTTGAGGCGGGCAACTTGAGCAGGAGGTAGTTTGGAAAACATCTGGTTGCCGCCTGCAGAAGCGTGCGTGGGAGAGGTGGGGTGCGTTCCTTGGAGCGACTTTGGTGTTTGAGGTACTTCGGATTGCAGGTTAGAGCTCGTGAGATCGTGGCTACCAGATTGTGCGGCGCGTGTATAGCGATCGATCCTATCCGCTGTCAGTATGCAAACCCATCGAACTGCATCTTCTACTTGACAAACTTACATGGCTAGTTCACCCATAAGTGTTTCGTGCCGGAATGCCTCGCGAATGCTAGGCACATTGGATCTCGCCATGTCATTGCCAGCGACGCCAGGAAGATGGTAGTTCTTACCCAACCACTTCTGCTTAACAACATGCTCAAAGCCGCTCTGCTCCACAGAATGTTTGGCTAGCTCACACATATCCACAGCACTCAGTTTGTAGATTTGCGCCGCGACCGAGTATTCCTCAATGAGGGGCTCTTTAGTAAAAGCGAACTGTAGAGGATCGTCTGTCGATAGCGAGACGTTGAGACCCCGGCGAAAGTAACTCAAGAACGGATTGCGTTCGTATGCCAAGAACAGCGCGTTATTGCTAAGAGGCGACATGGCGACACCAATTTGCTCAAGGTAGAAAATGTACTGGAGAAGCGGCACTTTACGGAGCAAGAGGCCGTGGCTGATGCTGTGACAGCATAGTACAGCGGCAGCCAAATGATCCGTGTCGCCAGCCTCTCCACAGTGCGGGCGCAAAAGGAAAGTGTTGAAGCCGCGCTGCTTCCTCCAGACGTTGAGCGACGACATATTAGCGAAGAGGTAGTACATCCAGTAGCTGTATGGCGGGTTCTGCTTTGTGGACCACTCGTTCGGGAACGGAAACTTTCTGTACACGCGTCGCTCAACTTTGCTCTCATCGTCGACGCTATCGAACCCAATGACCCTTTGCAGGAAAACGTGAAGCTTAGGGTGACTTGATGGATCTTTGGTGACCTCGAACAAAGGCTGGAACACATTTACGATAACTTGCTGGAAGTTGTCCATGAGGCCAGTAGCCTTGTACACATCGAACAAACGGGGTACTTGGATCAGCCATCGTACATTGGGCGAGAACAGCTTATTGTCAATGACCCAAGCCGCAAGCTTATCCCACTCTTCGATATCTCTACCGTAGATGGAAATGCGCCATTCGACAAATTGGTACTTGCTCGCTTCGAGATCCGATATGACTTCTTTGGTGATTTCAGCCAGGTATCGGCCCTTGACAAAGTTGTCTGTCTTCAAGAAAATGGTTCGGAGACGTGATTCACCAATCGGGTTATACTTCAAGTTGAACTTGTCGAAACGATGAAACGAATCCGTGTGAGCCTGCAGAGTCAGCAGATTGTCGCAACATGGAATGTCTGTACTTACATGCATATCTAGAGTATCAATACTCAGATCATACGCGGTCAAGTTGATTGACTCGAACACTTCCCTTAACGTAAGATGCTTGCCATCACGGAACAGTACCACTTCATCCGGAGACTTCTTCATCTTAGACTTGATGAAGCGCAGCAAATGCTTTTGGTTCATGCATGCTGAGTGGTGAACGTGTGTGTCTACCTTTCGGACGTTGTAGAAGTCCCTGTGCGGCACTTTTTTAGTGTCGGCCGTTTCTTGATATTCATTCAACAGGTAGTAAAGGTTGAATTTGCCCTCAAGATATTGGAGACGACGGAAAGCAAAGCTTTTACTCGGTCCATCGGAGGATATATCAAGAATGGCGTCGAGATCGATGTAAAATTCGCGCAATGTAGGAATGGCCACAATAGGCGTGTCGAGCTCAGCAGATTTAGCTGTCTCATACACCTGATAGACACCGCTCTCGTCCAGACGGAACGACATCTCTCCGGGGCCTGGCACCGGAAGGCAGTCTTCCAGATGAAAGTCTTCACCAATGTTGGTTCCCATTTTGCGAGGGAGCTTTGGGGCTTCATTGGGCTCTAGAATCCCGCTGTTCTGCAAGCTGCTGCCCGCATTGCGACGCTCTTTAGACGAGTCGTTCCATACTGGTTCAGGGGGAGTGGGGTAGATGCGCCAAGCGGGGTCGTCTTTGGGGTTATCGAAGTTGCGCTGTAGAGACAAGCGAATGTACTTGTGACGAAGATCTAGCACTTTCTGGATATTCGTATAGATTGAGCTAAGCTCAGTGGTGATACTGGAATCATTCATGGCGAAGCCTCCTGCGCCCGTGCCAACACCTATACCTGCGCCCGCGCCGTGGATACCTTCCTCAGCCAAAAGCGGTTTGTCTTCGTGTGGGAGACCAGGGTGTTGCGCATGGGATCGGGCTTGTTGATCGGCTTGGAGAAAGGCGTCGCCGTCATTGCCGGTACCTGCAGTGTTGGCTCCATGTTGAGTCATGTGTCGACGTGGATCCTGTGACTGCTCTGTGTGTGACAAGCCGATAGGTAGGTTGGACCGGTGCCCTTGATTCGCGAGCGTGACGTTGCTCTTCCTAGAGCGAATGCTCTCTGCCTTGCCTTGGAAGTCTACATTGTCTGTGGTGCCAAAGTTGGCGGGAAATGTCTTTGCGCGCATAGCAGGGCTGTATGCCTCTCCTGCTTGTGAGCCTCCATACTGCGTCTCTAGCTGATGCCGTTGGTAGAATTGCTTGGCTTCAGTGTGGCTCATCTGTTTCTCTGCAGTATAGTCATAGAAGGCAGTTCGTCGTTGCTTGTCGCGGGGCAGCATACCATTGTCGTCCTCTTCCTCATCGCTGGTGCCGGCGTTGTCCTGCGCCGTTGTAGTCGCACCGTTGTTCAGTCGTGTACGCCCGCTACCGCCAGCCTCGGTTTCAGACAAGTCATGGCTCAGTTCTTCTTCTTCAGAGGAGGGAATTTGGTCATCGTGGGCAGGGCCAAAGTCCGGAGACGCATCTGCGTCGGCAGAAAAGGCTCCTGGTCTCCAAATCAGTCTCTGCTTGTCTCGTATCGAGGGATTGGGATGTACTACCTTTCAACATGGTGCTGTGGAGAGGTGGTAGTTGCGGTTGCTAGAGCGAACACAAACTTTAGAGACGAGCCTCACCAGGAACGCGCCTCGGAGACCGCCGGCCTGTCGCCTGGCCCCGTGCCATTTTGTAAATTATGGATTCGATGACTCCATGGCATGCTCATTCTGCAGACTCTTCTAGTACAAGGACACAACCTATGGCGAACAAGACATGGAGGCTATAAGCATTCATGTTTCATTTGGGAAGTTTACTAGGCTTAGTCGGCCCCTCCATCCTCGGCTTGTGATGCTATCGGCAGGGTCAAGCCATTGTTGCCGAGACAGACATGTATAGCCTGCAATGCCACCTACATGGCACTCTGAAATGCTGTCCTCATGAATGCGCTCTATAAACCAAGATGAAGATACCCGAGGGGACAGGCTCAGACGCCGGATCGGAGCGAGTATTTGGTTAGAACCATCTGCACTCGTTTACGTGTGGAAGCTGCCCCTCCTGCCAATTGGACCATACCCCACAAAGTTATCTCTGCCACATGTGAGGGGAGTACTGTGTCATTGGAGATACCAATAGTGTCGCTTTTCAGCGGGCAGAAGAGGAAACAACATTGACGATAGTCTTATCCCATGCAATACGTCATCAAGAAGTGCCATCATTCATGTCGCAGACGCTTGAGTGAACGCCGCTCACGTGCTGGATGCTTAGCGCGAATCTATGATCCATGCCCAAAAATTTACCGTATTCCGACTTTTAGCAAGAAGGTCAAACTAGCCAACGTCCCTCACATCACCCATAATGTAAGACTCAATCCCGTTTGCAATTGGAGTGGTGGCATTAACCTATCAATGCAGGTTTCTTCTTCGCCGTACTGCCGTCCGCGCCATCACTGCGTCGCCTTCCAAGGCGTTCCTTGCGAAGCCCCGACCCATCAACACCGCCACACCCTCTGCCTTCCGTCTAAGACAACAGCAATGGTCAATCTCATCTTTCCAGAGACGATTCGCTAGCGATGAAGCTGCAAAGACGGAGCAGGCTGAGGCTGCTGCCGCCGACACCCCAGAGAACTTTGCGCAGACAGCCGCTGAGGCACCCGTCGAGGAGAACTTGACACCGGCTCAGCAAGAAGTGCAAGCCGAGCCCACCGACGCCTCTGCTACCGTTGATGCCGACGCGCTCGATGCTGCCGTCGAACACGCAGACAAAGGCAGGACGTTTAAGAAGCCACGGACTACTCCCCCCAACAACATGCTGTACATTGGCAACCTGTACTACGAAGTCACTGCAGAGCAACTGAAGCGCGTCTTTTCCAAATTTGGCGATGTTGAGAGCACCAGGATTGTCTACGACAACCGAGGCCTAAGCAGAGGGTATGTCGGTCAGCCAGTCTTTGCGCACACGTGCTAACTCTCACGCAGCTTCGGATATGTCGAATTCAAGAACGTCTCGGATGCGCAAGCTGCCCTTGACAACCTCGACATGCAGGTCTTCGAAGGCCGCAACCTCGTCGTCCAGTTCCACCAAGCCAAGCCCAACTCCAGGACCCGCAACACGAGCACAAACAAATTCGAAGCCAATCCTCCTTCCAAGACACTGTTCATCGGCAACATGTCTTTCGAGATGTCAGACAAGGACCTCAACGACCTTTTCCGTGATGTTCGCAATGTCATGGATGTCCGTGTGGCCATTGACAGGAGGACCGGCCAACCCAGAGGCTTTGCTCACGCAGACTTCATTGATGTTGCTAGCGCCACCAAGGCCAGGGAGGTTCTGAAGGAGAAGACCATCTACGGCAGGCAACTCCGTGTCGACTTCAGCAAATCTGGCACGGAACAACAGCGCAGCAAGCGTTCCGACTCTACCCAGGAGTAAGAGACGACGATAAAAAGAGGCCGAGAACTGTGAGAACATGCAAGGAGAAGGTCGCCTACCCCGTTTCTACAACGATGCATGTACGGCGGAAATGGTTGGCATTTCTGCACGATTGCACGACTGGGACATGTAGCCCATTGGCTGCATAATGTGTTGATAGACATGACTTTTGTATCATAGTGGATGAGCGTCTGGCGTTGTTATATTCCCATCTCTCTTTGTGCATGGTAGGGGATCAAGGTCTATAAGAGGCATGCTGACCTAAAAAAAAAAAAACTTTGCCAATGTACACTATCGGTCCATGTTGTGAAGAAACTTGGTATGGCGAGATCTACTACTATGTGTTGGCGCAAAGCTGTGCTGTTCCGTTCAAGGGCAGATTCACCCGCTCTATGTGGCGGCTCAGCGACCTCGGCCGCCCCGCGTACCTTCTCCACATGCTGATCAATTAAACCGGCCGACGCGCCTCTAGCACTTACTCGACCCCGACTTGTACATACTCTCTTCTCCCCTTCGTTCGCGTCATAGCAATCGCTTCACCATCTTTTAAATAGTTATCTCTTGCCATGTCTTTTCTCGGTGGCGCAGAATGCTCCACAGGCGCGAACCCGCTTAGCCAGTTCACCAAACACGTGCAGGATGACAAGTCGCTACAGAGAGACCGCCTGGTCGGGCGGGGGCCTGGAGGAATGCAGGAGGGCATGCGAAGCCAGCAAATGGGCGGTCCTTCAGATGGCGTAAGTTGGGAACAGCAGCCGACGACTGCGGGCAAGTGAGAAACATGGCTAATCGTGCGCTGCGTAGATGATGAACGAGTTCATGAACCAGAATGTCCAACTCCCACAGGGACCCGGTCCTGCGTCTCCATTCGCCATGGAGCAGATGCGAAGAGAGCTGGAGCGGACACAGCACAGCGGATCACCAGCATGGGCAGCAGAGTTCGACCCAGGCATGCAAGCGCCACAGATGGGAGGACCGGCCATGCAAGAAAGACCAGCAGGATTTAATCCTGCTGAATTCGCAAAGTTTCAGCAGATGAACCCAGCCGCGCGAACGGCGAGCCCAACTACCGCCTCACAGCCTTCGATGACAGGATACCAGCGGCCTATGTACGGAATGGGCATGGGCATGGGCAATATGGGCATGGGAATGGGCGGTATGGGCATGATGCAGCAGCCATACGCACCACAGAACTTCCAACAGCCCATGCAGGAAGGCAAAGGCAAGGGGCGCATGGTGGAGCTCGACGATCAGGATTGGGAGGCTCAGTTCGCACAGCTTGAGCAAACAGATCAGCAGGACCTGAGTGCCCTTGACGCCGAGGCGAACAAGGCTATGGAGGCAGAGCTCAACGAAATGGACAGGTCAGTAGAGAAAGATGCCGTTGATTTCGACGATTTCGAGTCCATTTGGAAGGGTATCCAAGCTGAGACTGAATACGCTAGGCAACTTGCCAACGAGGAGAACTTCGTCGAAGGACACATGGGCGACATGGACCAATGGGAAGGCTTCGACGGGCTCAACACACACTCGGTCCGCGATCCGGCAATGGGCGACTACTTATTTGAGCAGGAGAACCTCTTCAAGAACGTTACAAATCCATTTGAGGAAGGTGTGAAGATTATGGAAGACGGCGGAAACCTCTCACTGGCAGCCCTGGCATTTGAGGCAGCTGTTCAAAAAGACCCGAATCACATTGCAGCTTGGGTAAGATTGGGCGAGTCGCAAGCGCAGAACGAGAAGGAAACACCGGCTATAAGAGCGTTGGAACATGCTTTGAAGCAGGACCCGTCTAACCTAGAGGCTCTCATGGGTCTGGCTGTATCCTACACGAACGAAGGCTACGAGAGCACCGCATACCGAACCCTGGAACGCTGGCTGGCCACCAAGTACCCGTCACTAATCAAAGAGCCACTTTCTTCAGATGCCGAGATGGGCTTCACAGACCGCCATCTGCTTCATGAGAAAGTCACAAACCTCTTCATCCAAGCCGCACAACTCTCGCCAAGTGGCGAGCAAATGGATCCCGACGTGCAAGTAGGCTTGGGTGTGCTGTTCTATGGCGTAGAAGAATATGACAAAGCAGTCGACTGTTTCGGTGCCGCTCTTGCGTCCACAGAATCCGGCGTCTCAAACTCTTCATCACAAGTCCATCTTCTCTGGAATCGCCTCGGTGCAACCCTCGCAAATTCAGGCCGCAGCGAAGAGGCCATTGACGCCTACTCGCGCGCTCTCGCACTCCGACCAAATTTTGTCCGCGCACGCTACAACCTCGGTGTGTCATGCATCAACATTGGTTGCTACACTGAAGCCGCACAGCACTTGCTCGGTGCGCTAGCTATGCACAAGGTCGTCGAGCGTGAAGGTAAGGAGAAGGCTAGGGAAGTTGTTGGCGAGGGTGTCTCTGACAGCCAACTTGACAACATGATTCACCAAAACCAAAGCACAAACCTGTACGATACGTTACGTAGGGTGTTCGGCCAGATGGGCCGTAGGGATCTCTCTGATATTGTGGGTCCAGGCATGGATGTTGAGCGTTTTCGAGGCGAGTTTGAGTTTTGAAAAGCATGGTAGCGAACGTGTTGTCACAGCAAAACCAGAGGATGAGCAGCATGCTGATGAGAGCTACGATGACTGGCTTTTACAAAGGAAAGTCAAGAGACTACGAGTGGATGAATGGGATGATGGGGATCTCGGCGATAGTTGTTGCTTTGGCACACGAACGGTGGAGGTTGGTACGGATTGCGTTTGGAAGCTGCATGGAGGCGTTTAAATCATCGAAGACGCATAGCCGATCGCTACGATGTCGATATTACCTTGTCCCTCACTGGCTCACATAGATCCAAGTACTTGATCTCTCTTCACTGTTGCTCAAAAACCCCGATCAGTTCTCATAGGAAATATGTAGACATGTGCTGGAAACATAATGTCAGAAGCTTGCAAAGTTGTACAGTGATGAGTCGATCATGCATTGTTCACCACTTTACTTTATATCTAATACATAGGAGAATATTTGCGTGCTTGAAGGCGATGACCCCAACCCAGCCACGTCCAAAGGCAGAAAACACTATAAAATACACCGAAACCTCTGAATCACACTACCAGCACTCCACGCTGTGCAACGTTTTACCCTAGTTAACCCAATAGAAAGTTCTCCAACCCCACACCTACGTGCACCTTCCACTCATGCTCCATCTATTTAGCAAAGTGCAAGTCGTAGCCGAGCCACTTCCTTGACTGAACTTGGGGAACAGTAAGACCCGGGCTACCGTACGTGAGCGGTGCAAAGAAGAGGAAGCACCAGAAGACGGCAGCAAGGATGACGCCACAGGCGATCCAGCTGCCCGCCAGGCTGGAAGTAGCAACACGTTCGCGAACAGGACGTGAGCGAGTGCGGCGGTGACCCTTGGCAGAGGCCGGCATCTCGGGATCCTGAGGTTCAATGCAGAATACAAATTCTACTAACGCGCCAGTGACTAGACAAGATGCGAGATGTGCAGGGAGGTAGTGGTGCAAGAAGAGCTGACGACCCATGATATAAAAGGGAATGTAATGGGCAGCCCAGGTAAGGAAGAAGAATCCAGTGGAGTTGTAAAGACGAGAGCGAGTGCCTACAGACATGAATGTTAGAACCTCCCCTTCAAATACAAATGCCAAGATGAAAGCGAATAATCTGGGTTGAATGTAGGGTGACAGTAACTTACGATCATCAAGGGCATCCATGCCACGGCGGAGAGCTAGTTGATCGGCACCAATGATACCAGCAAAGACCGCGAGGAGCGAGGAAGCAAGCCACCATCCAATAGGGTTACCTAGGAAGTAAATCTGTTGGCGAGTATCGTTGTGGGTCCAGAAAGATACACCGCGAAGCAGGAAAGGCCAGGAAATGGGTTGAGATGCATATGGATGCGAGCTAGTCAAGGCGTTGTTGTGGTGGAACATGGCGCGCTGAAGCTCAACCCACTTCCTGAGGAAGCTCAAGTGCTTGACCTGCTTGGGCTCCTTCTTGTTGCGCTCGTCCTCAGCAGGAAGGGATGGAATGTCATCCACATACCAGAGATTGCTGGATTGTTGGACAGCCTTGTTGCCATTAATCTCAGCCTGCTTGTATGCCCAGTCAGGGAGAGGCTTAGTGTGGGTCCACATGGCAACCTTTGTTGGCACGTGAACTAGCTTGAAATGAGTTGACATGGTCTTGAAATCGCCCTTGCCCTTGTCGACCTTCAGCTCGAAGAGAGTGTCGTTGTAACGTGTACCAGCTGCTTCTTCCTTGTTCACAGTCGTGAACTCTTGGTTGGTGGGATAGTAAGGAGAAGCAACATCATGTGTCAGGAGAATGGTGTCTGTGATCAAATGGCGAAGACGGATGGTGTCTCCGACCTTGACGCGTTGACCGACTTCGCTTGACAAGGGCTTTGAAGGAAGGACCTGCCAGTGGTTGTTGGTGTCATTGTGAGGATACCCTGTAACCTGCTGTCCCTGCGAAGAGACACGTCCATCGTCGTAGCGCAGCGGGTAGCGGTCAGGATGGCTGTGAAGATAGACCTTGGTCTCCTTGTGGCGAATGGTGATGGAATCGTAGTAGTTGATGCCAACAGACTGGAGGCTCATTACATTGTCGCTTAGAGTTTCCTGGAATTCCGGGGTCATGAAGTCGTCACCAGGTCCAGATCGAGTGAGAATAGCGAAATGCACCTGGAACCAGAAAAGGTATAGGAAGAAGGGAACGATGACCAAGCCAACAGCACGGGCGGCGAAGTGTTTGCCAAACTCGGCCAGAGTCAAGGCTCCCTGTCGTCGGTTGACATCCATCAAGTCCCAAAGGTCAATCATGACCGGTACACCAATAGAGAAGAAAGTGAAGACACCAACGTACTTGATGGAGATGACGCAGCTCAGGCTGATGCCAGTCAGAAGGAGCCACTTCCACCATTTCCGTCCAAAAGGAACGTGTCGCTCTTTGTAGAAGCGAATGTAAGAAAGCACAGAGAGCGCCATGAAGAAAATGAGCGAAGCATCGAGGAGGATCAGACGCGTCTGACCAATGTGGGCGTTGTCAAGAAGCATAAGACCGGCGGCAGTGATGCAGGCGGGTAGCGAATAGCCGGATTCCCACATGATCATGAAGACAATGGGAACAGTGAGAGCACCGAGCGAGGCGGGCATGGCGCGGTATGCGACGTAGGGGACCTTGTTGGTGATGTAGGAATCGCCAATGTTCTCGAACAGGAAGTCACCCTTGTATCCGACGAGCCAGCCAGCGAGGGCAAAGAGGAGCTTTCCGAGAGGAGGATGGACATCGAAGAAGTAGGTTCGTTGCAGGTAGTACGAAGCGAACTGCAAGCGCGATTAGCCATCTATAAGAGCCCTGGTGATGATATACGCACCTTTCCAAAGTGCACTTCATCAAACACAACCTGATCGGGATGTCTGATGCCCCAGAAGCGCGTGACAAAGGCCAGAGCAGTCATTACTGCGATGGCGAGCTTGTAATCCCACTCTTTGCCCTGCTGGATTTGGGCCGGCTTGTATGGTTTGGCCTTCTCGACAACATTGGCGACCTTCTCCGACACCTTTTCGGCAAGAGCTTCTGGGTTTGGTGAGGCTCCTCGTTTTTTGTCCTTGCCTGGGCGCTGGCGGACGCTACCAGCAGGTGAAGACATGGTGGGCTATAGCTCGATGAAGCTACCTGTTGTTCTGGCTGTTAGCTTGCAATGCTGCGGCGCGGTTAAACAAGTTGAGGTGCACTCACCTCCCACAAAGAAAAGAACGGGTTTGATGGAATTGAAAAGAGAGTTGGGGTTGCACTCTAAGAGACACGACACCTAATCGCGAGTTCAGGGTCCGGAAGAGCCAATCCCTAATAGGCTCTCTCGCTTGCACTTGGCCCCTGCATTAGCGGTCATTGGTCCACCACGATCACAGCCCCCCAGCGAGGGGTAATGGAGCTCTGGTGAGAGTGATTTCGGATATCTATTCTTGGCACAGTGATGTGAACGATCTTCATGTGCTCTATGTGTTCCGAGATACCACCGTCGCCTACTTCCTTGCAAAACATCGCCGGGGGTAGGTCTAGATTGCCATCGACACCACGTCATCAAGTCCCTTCAAGTGATATACATTCTGCAATCACTGACGCTTCTTTCCCTGTTCGGCTTCCAACTTCTTTTGCTGTGGAATGCGATACGACGTTTCCCATCCGTACAGAGCGCCCGCACCAAACACCATTGCCGCGCCAACCTTCATCAACCCACTCATCTGGTTCCCGAAGAGCCAGATACTCAGCAAGAAGCTTACCAGTTTTCTGATGTTCAAAACTATCGTAACAGTAACCGCAGATGTGTTTGCACTAAGCATGTTGACGCCAGTGATGCAAAGTAGTTGCGTCAGGGCATTGGCGGTAAGGTAGATGACGTGCTGCGATGTCGAGGCCAAGATACTGTTGACGATTGGCGGAAGGCTTTCGGCCACCTTGGGTGGCACCTCGAATGACTGCGATGCCTGTAGACGCTTGAACTGTTGGGTCAAAACTGGGGTGAATCCCGCGAAGAACGGAATAGACAGCAGGTGGGAGTAGAAGAGATTGGCCTGCCAGTCCTTGCCGTGCTCGCGATAAACGTCTTCGACATAGGCTCCCATCCATGCAGAGAGCAGTTGAGCAATAAGTAGGATGGCGAGACCAGCTTGAAGCGACGAGTTGGACTCGTCGGAACTCGAGGCCTCCATATTCTTGCCCTTGATTCAGGATCAGCATCTGCGGATGATTGATGGTACATATAAGCTTACCTTCGATTGTGCATCTGCCCATGCGGATACCATGACGCCTAGCGTCAGAATTGCGACCGAGAAGACCTGTAAAGGAGTGTATCTCTTGCCACGAAGCCATCCAGCCGCCATGGTAGTCACACTACCAAAGCTCCTGAGGATGATGTGAACGGGGACAGAGATATTGAAAGCAAACGCCCAGTTGTTTAACATGTTGACTGTGAAGAACAACGCAGCGCTGACGCACCACTTTCGGAAAGGGACCGGCGAGCTCCTCAAAAAGTAGCGACCGTTTGGGTCGAACTGGTAGTGCAATGTTGATAGACATGTAAACACAAATTGGAAGAGCGTGATGAGTAAACCACTAACAGGCTCCTGTCTGAAGTGCTGTCAGCGGTTATGCTACCAACGACAGCTCGGACCTATTTACTTTACTATCGCTTCCAAGCAGTAAACCTTTGTATTCCTTAGTGTTGTTTTCGCAATGCCTTTGACAAACTTACATTGGCACAGCATCCTCCAAAAATGAGCGAAAAGCTGCTGATAACGGGCGCGATAGCGGCCATGCTGAACGACAAGGAGCGCAAGAGCTGAGATGAATTGCCGAAGTGGGATTTGAATAGTGTCAGACTTTCGAAGCAAAAAAGTGGTCGAGCTGAGATTGTTAGACAAGTGACGTAGGTGAGTGACAGATGACGGTAAGCTGGCAGGTGCAGAAAGTACCCAGAACCGTATAGAGCGTAAGGCGAGCCCACCCTCTGTGCGCAAGTCTTGCAATATATGCACTTACGTGAAAAGCGATTGTAGAATCTTTCTATGTGGTTATCATAGCTTGCGATTTTGTGAACGTTGCAGAGGGAAACTTGAAGCCGTGAGACGCAACGTGGAAGTCTGGGATGTCAAGAGCCTCACCACGGACGCTAACGGGATCAACCTTGAGTCTTGCCGGATCAAGCAAACTTCTAGAACAAAGCTTGAATTTGAAAACCTTCGCGCATCTGATGGAAGAAGTCAATTGATTTGATTGACAGGAATTTCCCGCTCATGTTGCGGAGACATGCATGTACGCATTGTTAGTATGCTTGTCATGTATTATGAGCTTTGGCCCAGCGCTTCAAGGGCTGCCTCATGCAATGTGAGACCCACACTCATTATTTATAGTTTCTTTTATTCTTTCTCTGCACCACTCAGAGTCATTATAGTGGTGTTGCAATCTACACTGATCTGCAGCTGCCTGGTCGTTGACCACGTTGCGACGTCCCTCATCTGCATTCTCACGCCAATTCGCCAAGAATGCTCCTGTTCTATCATCCTAGCGCCGCCTGGCAGGCTGCTGCCAACATTGAAAGGAAGATGGAAGGGTAAAGATGACCAAGAACCTAATAGGCTAATGCTCCGGTTTACATGTATCCTCTGGCGATATTCGTGAATCAAGACTGCCCTTACAATGCGGAGAAGACGAAAAGCTGCAGAGATTGTCAGTATGGTCATCATTTTAGGAGGACAGATATGCTTACGTTGTTTGTTGCCGCGATAGCGATGCTATCTTCGAATGGATGCCAGCTCATGTGTAAGATCTTCTTGTTGAAGTCGATCTGGTCTGCGTCTGTTTCCTTCCTCATACGTTGCCCTTGTCCAACTGCACCAGCAGCGGGGCTGCCGGCTCTCGAACCACCCTTCTTACTTGTGTTGCTACCTGTCGGGCTTGTCGACGAGTTCATGGGTGTTGGAATTCCAACCTTCTTGGCTTTGAAGGCAGACTTATCTGCCTGTAATACTACCTCGGTATCTTTGTCGTTGTCAGACGGGTATATCATGAAGTTGTTGTTGTAACTGCCAGTCATAACATTTTTCGCGTCTCCAGAGAAAACGACCTCGAATTTGTCGAAGATGCTGTCGTTTTCGTAGGTGTCGCAGAGTCTTGGTCGGAGATGCTCGTGAATAGGGATCGTCTTGACTGGGGACTTCTCCATGTTGACATCCCAGATCTTGACTGTCAAATAGTCGCGTGACAAGATGTATCGCCCGTCATGCGAAAACCGTACGTCAGAGATGGATGAGATGATCTCGGAGAAGAAGGATCGCGAAGATGGGTCTTCCTCCTGTTCGAATTCTAAGGGCAGAGGTTAGCATTGCTTTCGGGCAAGCAGTCGACGACTTACGCTTCGCATGCTGGTCGCACAATGCACTCTCGCGCATGTCGGCCAGCTTGATCGTGCCCTTGGAACTTGCGTACATGAACCAATTGCAGCTGATCGGATGGAATTCCGCAGCCGTGATGACCTCTGTAAGCTCTTCCATGTTGGCCGGCTTGATGTCGACAATGTTGAAGCTCTGGTCTTGGATGTTGAGGTTCCAGAGGTTGATTCGCAAATCGTCGCTACTAATGAATGTCTCTCCATCGCTGTTGACCGATATGCTGTTGATGTGGTAGGCGTGTGCGTTCGCATACGTCTTTCGTGGTACTGCAGCAACAACTGTGTCGTGGTGTGTGAGCCGTGGAAGCTTCAGGTCGGTGGCGCTGCGGAACTGTGCGTTCGGGTTCCTGACGGGACCGCCTCCACCAGCAACCCCACCTCCAGGTGTCAACTCATGCGACAGATTGTTCTCCGCCACCACTTTTAGCGACTTCTCAAATACCTTCCATAGCTTGATTGTCTTGTCATTTGTGGAGAGCAGGTAGTGTGAGGCGTTTTGCCGGCGGCACCACTTGATCTTATTGATCTTCTCTTCGATCTCGAGAGACTTCAGGTAATCGAACTCAGGCTCGTGCGATTGGAACTCGGTGTGGAACTTGTACTCGCAGGTTTTTTTCTGCATGATGTTAGTCTTTCCGACGGTGAAGGTTCCTAGCAGAGAAGGAGCATACCGTCTCGTTCCTCTCGAACAGGACCACACGGCCACCCTTGTCACCAGTTGCGAGGTAATTGCCCGTCTGGTCGAACTCGACGGTTGAGATGATGTCGGCTGCGCTCGCTGTCAGCAATTGCATGCAGGTATTAACGAATGTACAGAGGACAGGGCGGTAAGAAATGGGTACGTACCTTCGGTTATATCTTCAACATCGCCTTTGTCGCCGAAGCATCTGGTCAAGTCAGTGGCGTTTCCAGAGCGGTCTGAGCAAACTAGCAGGCACGGGGATGGACAAGCCGGTAAAGCTGACAGCGATAGGTAGCGTGCAGAGAGGTACGTACTGTGTGAACTTCCACGTCGTGGGGTTGCCTTCGGCTTCTACCATGATTCTAGACAAGGATTGCGGAGCAGCAGCGGCGTGCGATCAAGGGTAGCTAGTGCTCCGATGTGCTGGTTAAAGAATGGTGTATATGTATTCAGTAAGCGATCTGTCGAGCTGGTAGTAGGGCCGTGGTGAGATAGCGCCGCCAACGTCGAGGGTGGTGGATGGGTGATCGATGGGGAATGATGTAGTGGGAGCGGTGTCTGCTGGTCGAGTGGCCGATAGCGGGGTCAGCGGTGGGTTGGGCTTGTTGTTGAGCTCCGGTAGAATCGACTCGGCGGCAGAGTGACGAGGGCGGGCGACGATGCAGGGAGCAACAGCGCAGGTACAGAGACAAAGCGTGTTAGTTGATACCTCGATTCACTGCTTAGTGGGGGAGGCGCGCCTTCCACGTCCGGCCTTGGCACGACGGCGCGCCTGCCCCAACGCAGTTTAGCGCCCATCTGCTCGGCTCCCACAACGAATATTCGTTTTCGCTGTCAGTCCGAACTTCTGACAACTTCGACACTACTAACCATAGCACATCGAACTCGCCATGTCCCACAGGAAGTTCGAAGCTCCCCGCCACGGGTCTCTGGCATTCTTGCCGCGAAAGCGCGCTGCCCGTCACCGGGGTAAGGTGAAGAGGTAAATTCCCATGGCACCGCCGCCCAGCGCCGTTCGACAGCCTGCTCACTGCAATTGCCAGCTTCCCTAAGGATGACCCCAAGAAGCCCGTCCACCTGACGGCCGCCATGGGCTACAAGGCCGGTATGACCACAATCGTCCGCGACCTTGACCGTCCTGGTGCGAAGTTGCACAAGAAGGAGATTGTCGAGGCCTGCACAGTCATCGAGACTCCTCCTGTACGCACAGCCGACCCCAACCAATTTTGGCGCACCACTAACACGACCGCAGATGATCGCTGTCGGTCTTGTCGGCTACATCGAGACCCCCCGCGGTCTCCGCTCGCTCACCACCGTCTGGGCCGAGCACTTGAGCGACGAGGTCAAGCGCCGATTCTACCGCAACTGGTACAAGAGCAAGAAGAAGGCCTTCACCAAGTACGCCAAGAAGCACTCTGAGGAGAGCGGTGCCTCCATCACCCGCGAGCTCGAGCGCATGAAGAAGTACTGCACCGTCGTCCGCGTTCTCGCCCACACCCAGATCCACAAGACCCCTCTCAAGCAGAAGAAGGCCCACCTTATGGAGATCCAGGTCAACGGTGGCAGCATCGCCGACAAGGTCTCCTACGGTCACGGTCTGTTCGAGAAGCCAATTGAGATCAGCTCCATTTTCGAGGACAACGAGATGATCGACGTTATCGCCGTCACCAAGGGTCACGGATACAACGGTGTCACCTCCCGTTGGGGCACCAAGAAGCTCCCGCGTAAGACACACAAGGGTCTCCGTAAGGTCGCCTGTATCGGTGCCTGGCATCCTGCCCACGTCCAATGGACTGTTGCCCGTGCTGGTCAAATGGGTTACCACCACCGTACCTCTGTCAACCACAAGATCTACCGTATCGGTAAGGCTGACGACGAGGGTAACGCCTCAACCGAGTTCGACGTCTCCAAGAAGCGCATCACACCGTAAGTTATTCTGTCTTCCCAAACGCCGATCACTACTAACATGTACCAGCATGGGTGGCTTCGTCCGCTACGGTGAGGTCAAGAACGACTTCGTTCTCCTCAAGGGTAACTGCCCTGGTGTCAAGAAGCGCGTCATGACCCTGCGCAAGTCCATGTTCACCCACACCAGCAGGAGGGCGCTCGAGAAGGTCGAGCTCAAGTGGATCGACACCTCTTCCAAGTTCGGTCACGGTGCTTACCAGACACCGGCAGAGAAGAGGCAATACGAGGGTGTCCTCAAGAAGGACCTCCAGACTTCGTCTTAGAAGTCTTGAGGTGGTGCTACGGAGTGCATGCTTTGTTCTCATGGGCTTGGGCGCACGGGATAGGTCTACAACATGGATGCCAGTCATGAGCGATTGAACAAAAAATTCAACGATTCCCCAATTCAAAATGCGTTTCTCGTGTTGTGATGTACATGATCGTATTTTGCATCAACAGCTGCAAAATCGTTTTCCGTGATGTCTCTGTGTGGCCTGGTTTCGCGTAGCTAGTAGTACGTTTGGTGTAGGGCGTGGGTGGGCGGAACACGGGCAAATGGTTCAAACTCGCAACCTGACGGCGCACAGTAGAAAGCAGAAGCAAATCATTAGAATTAGTATTCTCGTAGAAATCGACTCTTGCATAAATGTGGTGTCCAGACGAGGCTTTACTAAATAACAGGGACCGAATACATACTAACATTAGTAGGAACCCTTGTACTTGAATACGCAACTTGCGG